GGGGCCGGGGATAGACGGCGTCAAGCCCCCCTATGGCTACATGGGCAAGAAGGGCAAGGCTGGCGGCGCCGTCTACGAGATGCCCGCGTTCACGGCAGAGCTCCTTACCCCCTTCCCCCGGGTCGGGGTGCCCGTGAAGTTCGACAAGCTCCTCTACAACGGCCGGCAGAACTACAACCCCCAGACGGGGATCTTCACCTGCGAGATCCCCGGCGTCTACTACTTCGCCTACCACGTCCACTGTAAAGGGGCCAGCGTCTGGGTGGCGTTGTTCAAGAACAACGAGGCGCTGATGTACACCTACGACGAGTACAAGAAGGGCTTCCTGGACCAGGCTTCGGGCAGCGCCGTTGTCCAGCTGATGCACGGAGACAAGGTTTATGTTCAAATGCCATCCGAGCAGGCGGCAGGACTCTATGCCGGGCAGTACGTTCATTCGTCTTTTTCAGGATATTTATTGTATCCCATGTAAAACAAAAACCAGACACATGCACATACACACAAAATCAAAACCTTTCTTCTCTGCTTCAAACTTTTATACCACGAAAGATGCATTTTATGACTGTTTCGGACCATCTTGTATTAAAAAAAAAAAATAAATACAAAGTTCAACATTATGCACAGCTAGTTATAAAAAAAAAAGGTGTGGTGAACATATCTAAAGATGTGTATCAGGTTCATAAACAGTTGTTTTGCACCCAAGGGGGACATATTAGCTGTACATTATATATTTCTGTGATGCCATGCTTACTTCATTTCACTCACAGTAATTCAGTACTAAGGTTCAAGTTCATTCTGTGTACGTCACTCACTCCTGTTGCATAGTTGACTGTTGCATTGATCATAGTTATGAGATGAAAACCAGTGACTTAAACCAGAGTAGGTCTGTCTCAAATTATATAGAAAAATTTGAGTGGCTTTTTATTTGTTTGGGTGGGGTTTTTTGGGGGGGTTTTTTGACAGCAGGTCTGCCTGACAAGCAAAGATTCTCTTAGCTGGAGACCTTTATTTCCCTTCCCCCCATATAAAATGTTCCTGCAGGTGTGTTTTTTTCCTGAACAATTTATTTATGATGGAAAAGGAGTACTGATGGTGTAGCTATTCTCCGCGAGCCTTCTCCGGCAGTCATTGGACCCAGAACGCCGCCACTGACTCCAGCAGGCGCCGGGTTCACCTCCAAATGCCACAGCACTCGAAAAGTCTCCATCTGCGTTTGCGCAGTTGAAGTAGGTGAGGTAGATCAGAGACAAAAACGAAGGGCTCCCCGTTCGCTTTGTGCCACGTGATTGAGACATCTTGGCCGACACGTGGCAATACAGCAGGGCGGTATAAATGCGCTGGGATTTCTGTGCTCGCGCTAAGAACCTGCGTCTGTTTGGCTTGTCAGAAGAGACGCGTATTCTGCCACTCAGCGAAAATTAAATCAGCGTACTCTTCAATGACTAGGCAAAGCAGAAGTAGCTCTGTTCGCTCATTAACTAGTTTGTTGTTCGAGATCAACCGGTAACTGTACCGGCACAATACTGATCACGCAAATTGATCCGAGAACTTCATTTTATAGAAAAGCTGATTTCCAATCCTTATTTATATGTTACCGGTTGTCAAGGAGAACCTGCAGGCCTCGATCTTTTCTGTGCGTGAGGAAAGCAACTTCTCTGCAAGAGCTGTCTGTTCATCCACGGTGCTAATCTCACCTCAAAAGTATTCGCTTCCGAAGGGCAGGGTACTTTGCTGTGGTTCCCTGTACAGTGCTGCACATCACACACTGTTACGCTAGTTGAAAGAGTTAAATACTCATCACTTCTTCAATGTCTTTAGCTAATGCTACCGCTTTTGATTCAAAAATGAACTAGATTTTTCATGCACAACTAAGATTGGATTTAACTGGCATTACCATTATTTAAATGCAGAGTTTAATGCAGTCTAACATTGACTAAGGACTCCAGTGATATAATGTGGTGCTTTATCTCAGAAATTTTATGGAACGGTGGCAGGAACGGACGGACAGTTTACCAGGCATTGGTGACTTTGGTGTGTTCCCAGAATATGAGATATGTCAAAAGCAAATAATTTTGTATTTAAAATTTTTGTACTGATTTGAAAAAAATATCTTATTAAATATCTTTAAAAAAAAAAAAATCCTGTCTTCATTCAGCAGAACTGCTGGAAGGAACATTCAACCCGCTGAATTCATACATCAGACCACAAGGACCCTCTGAAACCACTGACAGCCGGGTAGGAAAAAAAAACAGAAAGTGCGATACCCTTTTCTTTAGTTCCCCTCTACTGGCAAAACCTGCCCTAAGCCAGCGGGGGGGTAACGCGCTGTCCTGGCATCGCATTTCATGGGACAGCACGGCTGGGGCCGAGGGGAATGCGCAGAGCGAGGGGCTCCCGCAGGCGGGCTGTGGGGACGGGCGCCTGCTCAGCGCGAGCCGACGCAGGAGTGCAACTTAAAAAGGCACAGGGGCAGCGCCCAGGAAGCCAGGAAATCGGACGCCGTAGAGGTGTGCTGTCAAGGGTTTGTGCTCGCCTAAAAAGCCAGAGCTGGCTGCCCAGGCTGGGAGATGCACGCCACCCCCCTGGCTCTCCTTGCGATCTGAAAACAGCTTTTCCCACTCCTCCCCCTCCCCGTTTTTTCACCTGCAGCAAAAACCTAGTGTGAAAGCGGCAACGTATTTGCCACTGACCTACATTACTATTCAACTCTGGCTCCGTTGCAGGGAGCAAATGATAATCCACAGTGCGGCTCCCCCGATCTCGCCTCAAAGACGGGCGTTTCCTCCAAGCTCGCCAACTCCTAAACTGTCAATACTAAAATGAATGCATTGAACACCTGCTTGTGTCAGGTCATCGTTTTCTAAATCTCCCTTAGACTCCCTGAAGCCGCTGGCTAAGCAACTCCCCAGCATCCCATTTTTACTGCACAGAGAGAAAGAGAAAACAAAACATGAGCAAAGTATCGCAATCAGCGTCCCTCACTTTCTATCTGAAGTCTTCCGCCACAGACCATCTTCTTAGTTAAACGTCTTGTAATTAAAAAAACATGAAAAATTAAAATTGGGAGGATGCTGCTCTCGATCTTACCCACAAAAACTCTGTCCCAGTTTTGCTTTCACTCAGCCTGGAGCGAGATCTCCACCCGCAGTTCAGCTCAGCCTACCTAGGTTCAAAAACTTTCAGCTCCGTTTGCTCTACTAAGCACCAAAGGCCGTTCCGAAACTCAATGCCGTATGTGACAACGCTGTATGTACTTTACACAGCATTAATAATGGGGCTGGGCACAGGCGCGCATCCGCACACACACAGAGCAATGACCTTGCAAAAATAAGCCTGAGGGCACCGTCTTTAATGCTGTTTATTCACAGGAAAATAATCTCTTTCCGTTTGTAGCATTCAAAATTTCACTTGAAACAATGTCAACACTCGTAAGAACGTCATCAAAATACAGCCAGCGCTTTAAAGGCATATAAAACTTAAGACAAATGGCAAACAATGTAAGTATTTACCGATACCAAAACCAGACGTTGAGCTTCGTGTGTTCTTAAATATCAGATTCCACTTAAGATATTTATACTACCTCCTAGGGCATTGTTAAAAAGGAAAGCGTGGCATAGGAAACAAGAGGTACCACACACTGATTATTAAACACCGGAGTTGTGATTCTGTATTATCATCACCAAGTCACTGGAAATGTCATTTAGTAATAGCCTTTAGGCACTCTGAGTCGTATTTAGTGCAATAGTTTGTGACCTTCCTTCTTAAGTCGTATCTCCGTACTTCCCTTAATTATTACAGCAGAGGAAAAAAATACTTTCCCTGACAGAAAAAACAAACAAAAAACCCCCTAAAAGTCTGAGCCAAAGAGAGCTTTCGGCTGACGCGTGTCATCCTGCCTGTTTTGTGCGTACTGTGGTACCTTAGAGCTGAGTCTTTCTGACGGTGCAGCATTTTGAGGGGAGCGGCAGATAAAATGCAGGAGCACCTTTGCTGTAGGATGCCACTGTCTTGAAATTCAGCAGGCTGCTGGAGAACAGGACGGCGGAAGAAGGAAGAATTGCATCCGACTTTGCAATTGACACAGGAAGAAAATCGATGGGAGACGCTGGCTACCTATATAGTTACACCGTTACCAGAGATGGAAATAAAGCCAGCCCTGGGATTCAAAATTGGCAGCTTCACTGCTGCTGCTGCGATAAAAAAAATGGGGTAGCTTTTAAAGGGAAGTTTCAGCGCAGAGATTTCATTTTCAGGAATGGCAAAAAATGGAAAAAGACAATCTTAATAGCAGCTCGCTCTCAGAAAAGGTCAAAGTATTTGGAGTTAGCATTATTGCTTTTTTCAAAGAGCCCCAAGGCAAGTCTTTGGTATTGCAAAACGCCTGTGAAAACGCGTGCCCGGACAGAAGAGCCACTGTGATCTGTGGGCATTACTGAGAAACGCGCTGCGTGTCGGTATTCTTGCCTGCATGAAGTTAGTGTAAAAGCGGTACCCGTCCTCAAGACAGGGTATGACTTGTAGCAGAAATGACTGTGCGAAGCGGGTGACGGAGCAGGGCTGGTGTACACAGAATCCTACCAAAACGTCTTACGGGGGTGGTGGTGGTGGTAATGAATCACTTGGGTCACCGCTTACTATTGAAAAGCTACTGGCCTGCAAGCTGTGCTTTCAAAAAAACATAGTACCTTGTGGTTTATCAACGGTATCAGCTCTTGGCTCGGTCCCCAGTGAACAGGTCTGGCTCTAAATGTCACTCAGTCACCCTGGGACAGTAACCCTGGCATACGCAGACTTGACGTCCCTGCGGCAGCACAGAAGTGGGGGAAAAAGATCCCCGGGAGTACTGTTTAATTTCAAAAATAAATCAGTCATACAAATGGGGAGGCTTATTAAGAAATAAAAAGGAGCAGCCGATGAGGATAAATGCTTGTAGACAACATATTAAATGCATTGAGACTATCAAGTATTATTAAAAAAAAATAATCCTAGGGAGACAAAGCTGATGTAGTAAAAAAAAAAAAAAAAGAGTTTATCTTAAATAAAAGAGTTGGGGGGGGGGGGGGGTACAATTTCTTTGCCATGAAGCCTTTTTTCCAATTATTTTGGGGGGATTCTAATTGTAACAGAACAAAACCCAAAAAAAGGCAGAAAACCTCCTAGGAAAGTTAGGAGAAGGAATCAGTTTAGATTAGTGGGAAGAATATCTCCGGAGAGGAAATAAAGCAGAGAAAATAACCACATCCTCAGAACCACAGCTCCCTACCTGCCTACCCTGCCCCCTGGATGGGGGTGGAGAAGCAGAAGGAAGCAGCCTGCACCGTTACAAGAACCAGGCACTGGGAGGAGAGAGCAAATTCAACAGCTCTCCTGGAAAAAATCCTCTCAGTCAGCGTACTGCGTGACATTAGACGGACGGGGCTGGATCTGTGGCGGGAGCCCGTGGGAGAGCTGGGGGGCCCGGCTCCAGGAGCCAGCACGGGTTTCGAGGGGGAAGAGGCAGCCCTCTGCTTCTGCCTGGCACTGCTCTCAACAGAGCCCGAGATCCACCAAGGACTTCTACGCAGAGAGCTCGGACACCACCACGACCTTTGCAAAAAGCCTTACCTCGGCATTTTTTTTTCATGTGGAATTGCTGTTGTCAGTAGTCTAAATCACTGCAGGTCTGGGGCTGCAGAGTCACATACAAACCTTTTTAATTAACTGAGATAATCATGAGAAATAAATGCTGGTAGAGACAAAGACAGTAGCGCCACTGTTTTCTGATGCAAAACCCCACCTGACTGTATTCAGATTTTTAAACAAAGATCTCCTCAAAGCCTCAGAAATGTGCACGTTCAAAAAAAAAAAGAAAAAAGCAAACACAAATAACTGAGTAAGAGCCCTTCTGCCACCTGGTGAAGAAATTCTGGTTTCCTCCAATTCCACCACCAGAGTCACCTGCTCCGGTGCCCCAGGACCTCCCGCGCTCCCCTCTCCTCCACGCTCTCGCCTGCCGCCCTGCGCACGGCTGGACCAAACCAAGGGCCCCCCCCTGCAGCGTCACCTGCCGCAGCTGGGCCCAGGGAACACGCATCCAGCTGGCAGGACACCGTGGCACTGCCTGTCCCTTGCTGGGGACACGTCTGGGTCCTTCCCCACGCCCTGCCACAGATTTTTTATGACATCCGGAGTTATTTCAGACACGTCCAATTTGCTTGAAACGGACCAAAGCTCAGGAGTCATGAGGGGAAGACACAAGCCTCCTCCCCTGCGGCTGTGGCTCCCCTCCAATTCACACTGCCCTCACCAATTCCCAAACGGCAGAGCCAAGGCGCTAAAGAGGGAGATGAGAACTACGGGGCGGTGGGGTTTTTTTTAAATACCTATTGCACCCTGCAAGAGAAATAGGAAAAAAGAAAGACGACTCTTTGGTCACTTCAATGCTTATTCCTCTACATTGCTACAGCAAAGAAATTGTGTTCAGTACTCTTGTAATCCTCAGCTTCTGAAAACACACATACCGTGCCCTTAACCTTCTAGAGGTTTTTATTCACACTGTAATTGTTTGCGCTGCTCCTAAACATACTAAAACTCTCAATATAATTTTTATTAAACAGCGGCAAAGGTTTTTCTACCGACTTTGAAGACCTTTTTTTGTTTGTTTTTTGAAGTGGACTTCTTTGTGCTTTCTTTAGGCGTGATTGATCAAGATAACCACAAGATCTTCAAGCAAATCTGCCACAATTTAAAAAAAAATAGTATATATACACACCCTATGAGAGAATTGGAACAGCGTATTACTTGTTCGTCTTTGACGGTTATCAAGGGCATGCCCAGGCAGATTTAACTTATTCAGCAGGCTTGTCCGAGACAAACCACTACAGGAAACATAAACATCCCATTAAATGTTTCAATTAAAATCCTGCGTAAGTTCCCACCGCTAAATGATTTAGTTCAGCCACATCCTTTAAACCTAAATGTCAAGACCGAAGAGGTGAACAGAAGCCAAATGATAATTCAGCTGAGGTACATCCTGGATATTCCCTAGCACACTCTACTGCCAAAAAGGGGAACATTCATTGCTCATATTGATGCATTTCAAAGTGGAAACGCACTACAGCATCTGAGAAAGGAGATTGCGCCCGTTTGCAAAAATACACCTCGATTCTTGGGGAGCCAACAGAAAGATACATGAGATCCTGTCCTGGAGATCTAGGAATCCAACAAGCGTTGGCTCTAAATCTGAAGTCAGGCGTGAACATCTCTGTCCCCGCTCACGTTTCTGTTGTGGTCTGGGGGAAGCGGCTGACACGCAGGTAGTTTGGACAACTCTTCAGTCTTCATACTCCCTCTTTTCTGACTCAAGTCACCCACTGTACAATTTATTGGACGCACAGCACGGAGAGTATGGTTTTCCATAAAGCGGGTACAACATGAGCACTGTCAATACCAGCATCTCCAGAAATCGGACCGAAGGGTCTTCACCTTCAGCAAAGGCAGACAGCAGCTCAGAGTCGATGGCCAGTGCAGAAGCTGTGGCTTCTTTGCTGAAGATGGACGTCCCCTCCCCAGGAGTAGGGCAGACCAAAACCTGTACGTTCTGTATGTTCCCCCTCCTCCCAAACACACAGTAATGATTTTTAGGCACTGTTTTAAAGCCATTTTCATACTACAAGACAGACATTCAAGACTTTACATCCATCTACTAATTAAACAGCGGTCATCTCAGTTTCTTGACAGTGTAACCCTTTCGGAGGACAACATCAGAAACAAAAGTATTCCAGAGAAGTAATCATTTGGAAAGAGTTCTTGCTGATAAATAAGTGATGTGCATCACATTTTTATGTATCCCTGATACTTTCAGCTGAAAGTTTCATGGTTTTCCCATTATTAAATAGCTTCACAGAAATTCAGTTAACTCTGTTTGCAAAAGTCCATTACCCTCAGGCTTAGAAGAAGCTTCTGCCTTGGTGAGGTTTCTGTGCTCCTTTTAAACAGTAAACAGTTATGCTGCACTTAAAAAATAAAAATGTCATACAAAAAATAAAAATTTTTCAAATCTTAAAAATAGTGATTGTTCTTCGTATTTTCCATTCAGCTTTCACGTCAAATTGACCACAAAGTTCTTGTCTATAAGCTTCTTCAAAAATTTCTGCTCAGCGTTGATGTTGTGGTATTCGTTCTAAAGAGATGCGAGAGGACAATAAAAAAAAAAATTAAATTCAAATTATTACCAGAAGCAGCACTTCGCTGTTCTTTCCTTTTAATTACCTGTGAAACTTGGAAGACGCTAAGAGTAGAAAAGCTCTGGGGAAAAGACTTCTTAGCAAAGGCTGTAGCACAGTCTCCCAAGAAGACCGGTGAGCGACTCTGGAGCACTCAAAACTAGATTAGATTTTCCATTAGGACACAAACCAAAAGGGGTGATCCTTCAGTGGCCAGGATGGGCGAGACGTGGGTCTCACAGAAGTCCTTCCATTACTAACTCTCCCAACTCCTCCCCGTGCTTAGAGGGAACAGCTGCATAACCACATCTACAGCGCACGCAGCCAGAAAATGACTAATTCTCGAAGCTCAGTGCAGGTTCTTGAAAAGCACGCATCAGGCACTCGTCAATCGGATGCATCCTGCCAATCCGTTTCAACCAGCCAAAACCAACCCACCCTCTGTGCTGTATCCAGATCCTGGATACACAAGAGACCACTGAGGTTAGTGGAGGACAGCACAAGGGAAGTAAGTTTACTGACAATCTTAGACACTGAATCCAGTAAATTAAAATGAATAAGAATACTGCATAAAAGATTATACATATATAATATTTACAACTTAATGCCACTAAAGAATTAATGATAAGGTTTTTGTTTAGTAGTTTGTTTTTTAAAGTTTCAAGATTTTAGGAAACTTATGGATGTCTATTCAACTAGCGATCAACCTTACCCAAGCTTGGTATACGTTGCAAAAAAGCACCTGCAGAGAGGAGCCTCAAAATGAAGAGAGTTCAGTGTCAGAGGAAAATTATCTCAGAGCAGCAGGCACCTAGGAGTCCTCAGAGAGACATGAGAGGCTCCTACAGGCATTGCCCCTACCCTTCCTCTTCAGAAAAGGGAGGACGAGAGAAAATGGTCCCCACATGCGCTGGGCATGCACATGGAAGAGAAAACTGTTCACATTGAGGTAAAGGGCTGAGATGGAGTTGCTCGGAGTACAGAGCTGAAGACGAGCAGAGACAAAAGAAAACCGAGGCATGACGGTAGCAAAGCAGGAGGGAGGAGAAGGCATCCCTGATGTTTGCCAGCCTCCTGCTGCTCCCTCTCCTGGTGAGTTGTGGCTTCGCCCTCCTGGAAGCAGTTCCTTCTCTTCCTAACGCGTGCCGCCCCCCACCCCCGCCCCCCAAGAGCTGCTTTTCTTTTCTGCTTTCAAGTTCTGAAATTCAGTTCTTTTCCTAACTGCAAGTTTGTAGGTCTTAACTCCTTCCATTTCCTTTTGCTCTTCTTTCTCTTTTTTAAGAAGTTTGGTGACTATGACAACTTGTGCAAGTAGGTGCCAAGGAAAAAAGAGAACGCGAACAGAAACAACGCTATTCATGTTCTGACAGTGCTAGCAAATACGCCTCTATGCACAAGAGCTGCGTCGCCTAAGGGTAACGCCAGCAAAGCAAAACAGAACATACAAATGGACGTATCTCATGCAGACGTTGCAGAATATGGTGTAGCACAAGGGACACAAATACCGTTATCCACATTTTTCAGAAACAAAAGCAGAGATGAAGAGCTTCAAGCAATGTTAACCCATGAGCAGCTGAACCAGGAGAAGACGGGAGGCCTTTCTGACCGGCAGTCCGCACACTTATATCTATATTGAATTGTCTTCCCCAGTTACCAGCTGTATTTCTCTCAGCACAAACGGGTGTTTGTTACCTTCATCATTTGAGACATTGTGTCGTTGCCGTAGTAGTGCAAAGAACCATTTCTGTCAGTGAAGTCGTACTTGAAGCCTGCCAGGTGAACTTCATGGCATATGTGAAATGCTAGTGTAATGGCAATTAGCCCCGTGGTTGGATGCTTGGGTTTCTAAAACGAAACAGAAAGAGCACACATGTATAAATAACTGGCAGCTTGACGGGAACAGCAAACCTAAGGACGAAGACAGCGGAAATCAGGCAGCCTGGCTCTTCTACAGATGTCTGGGTTTGTAGTTTGCTCCCCTCGTGTCTCGTAAGGACTGCCCGCAGGTTTTCCATGACCGGGGTGTCTGCCATGTCGGCCTTCCCTGGGATTCTCCGGTTTCTAGTGAGGGCTGAGCCCATACTGTAGCCCTGCCTTCCGCATAGGCATCAGGAGGGTCTCCCCATCCCCCTGCTCAGCAACCTACTTTCATGAAACTGGTAAGGCTTCAATATATTGGAAACGATTTCACCTTCTCAAATTTGATGAATTAGCAGATGTGTTCAGAAGTTTCTAGATGATGGCGATACAGACAAACAGAACAACATGACATGCCTCAAATCTTCGTAACACCAAACTAAAAAACCATGAATGCTACTGTTACATAAATTTGGCTGTATTTGAACTTTTTCAAAGCAGGGAAATCCCAGAAGAACACGGCTTTAGACCTTCCCCCACTATTTCCATTAGAAGAAAAGAAACAGTGGATAAAATTTCTTATTTCTCCCTATGGTAAGATAGCTCAGAAGTCAATGCAATGTAAAATATCAAGAGCAGGTCATAAACAGGTTTTAACTCTGCAAAATTAAGAGAGCACCTAACCGAAAATTAGTATTTCTTACGAAAGCATAGAACAATTCATTGCAACCATCTGTCCTATCTTGTGATCAAGTACGACTGTTTTAGCAGCAGCAGTGGCTAAAATGATCTGGGGAAGTAAGTGAGGCACGATTTGTAGAGAGAGGTGAACTCTTTCATTAGACCAACAGATGAAGCCGAGGGGAAAAAGTGTCCCCAGAAATGGGCAAAATTTTCAGGCACTAATGCCCTTCTTAGCTAAAATAACAATTTTCTCAGAGACCAAATGAGCCACACACTTTCGGCTGCTGAAATCAAACCTCAAACTGAGCACAAAATCACATCCTTTTTTGAACTCTTACCCAAGGCTCAGTTCATTTGCCTCTGAAAAACAAAGTAGGCAAACCAGTACTGGACGACTCTGTACAGAGAGAAGGCAGATACACTCAACGATACAGAAAAATACTCTTCTGTATTGTATGATAAAAGAACAAATCCCCAGGAAAAAGTTACCAACATCAGCTCTGTAAGCCTAATTAAAGTCACAGAATTGAACTATCGCCTTTTACATAAGACTTTTTTGGTACCTTTATACAATCCCTGGAGTACTCCAGAAATAACATCAACTTAAAATGCACGCCGTTGCCCAGGGCTCCTGCCAGTTAGCAAAATAACTTTCTGCCCTGGGGACCCAATATCATAAACTTAGTGGTGACTCTGTTGCAATGTCCATACTAAACAGGACCGCAAAATTACGGCAGGGAAGCTACATGTCAGGCTTAGTGCTACTTGGAAATATCAGGAATATCACAGGTTGCAACTAGCTCTGTTTACCTTTGGCCATCATAAAGTTCACCTCAAAAGAATATACTAAAAAAAAAGCAACGCTACTTTTAAAATGTATTATCACGCTAGCGCCCTAGCAATATCCAGACATCCTCGGCCCGTAATGAAATTTGTTCAGCCAGTCACGTTTCATGGGAATAGGCACAGCCTTGAAATAACTCTGCAGCCCTTTCTGACTTCAGTGCTGCTGGGGCAAGACATCCAATTTTACAGTTGTTCTTCCCGGCTCTGCTAACGCCATCGCAGTTGCTAACAAAGAAACGGAGATGCTTGCTGGACTACGCACAAATGCACGCACAGGGAACGTGAGACAGGCTTAATGGAAAAGGTAGAGAGAGCAGGGAAAGCAATAGTGGTCTTCGGCGTCTCCTGCAGGCAGAGAGGGCTGAAGCACAGGACAGCGAAGGCAGCAGCAGCCCTCCCCAGGGACGCGCTACAGGACAGAGGGCTCCAAAGTGGGTCCTGCAAAAGGCTGCCCTGCCAGTGGGAACCCCCGAGGCATGACCTGCAGCTTAACCGAGCTGTGCCAGAGCGACTGCAGATGTGCAGGCTCCCAGCCACGGCCCACCTCTGAGATGGGAGGAAAAGCGAGGAAAAGCATGCCTGAGCTTGACTATTGCTGCCGCCGGGGACGAAGGGGCTGCAAAACCCCTGGGATGGAGCAAGTGGGATGTGGAGGTGGCGGAAAGGGGCTCCAAGCACGGACGTGCTCTGCCACAGCTCTGGGCAGGGGCGCCCAGCAAGCAGGAGAGGAGCAGAGGGCACGCACGCTGCTCAAGGCAACTGAAGGGCCTGTGCCTCCATACCAGCTCCAGGACACCACGCATCTCTCTTCGGCTCACTGCCAGCACTGGTCTTTTACTCCCACTGAGAGGGGAGCACAGGAAGAGACAGGAGGGATTTCTGGAGTCATGGAGACCACAGATGTTCTGTGGCCCTTTAGGAGATAGTTAGGCACCCAACTACTATGCCGCTCTCTTCTCACCCTCAGCTGAAGAGCTGAAATACCATGGAGCCCCGGCAAGCACACAGCCAAACTGGGTATTCCAGTTTGAGAGTTAACAAGGGAGGAAAAAACCACTAGCAGGCTCAAGAAAAGAAAGAAATTTAAAAAACAGAAAAGGAAAAAAAAAAGCCACAAAAATTCCCAAAAAGCAAGAAAAAAATCTCAACTCCATCAAATATGAGAAAGATTAGACCAGAAAAAAGTTGCGGTAGGTACTCCACAGTGACAGCCTGTCAAACGTTTCCACACATGTCAGTTGGCTGATCCCAGCGAAGTAGCTCTGTGCAACAATGTGACCCCAGGGAACCATATTTTGTGCTAAACAGCACATGGTCGGTCCTGACTGCACAAGGGAGGTCTCCAGCTTGAAGTCTTACCTTTCATCAGAAACATTCTTCAGTCATAAACTGACAGTTAAAATGTATTTTTATGTCCAAATTGTCGGTTAACTCATTACAATGCTTGGCATCAAACCAGTAAGCGCAAGAATGCTGCTAGGCAGGTGTCATTAGCGGGGGGCTGGAATATCCTGTATGCTCCCTAGTCCCTACCCACCCCCAGCAGCATGAAATTGCAGCAGTGTTAAAATTACTGGGTTGTTGGGTTTTTGGGGTTTGGCTTTGGTTTTTGTTTGGTGTGGGGGTTTTTTGGTTTGTCATTTTGTGGTTTGTGTGGGTTGGTTTTTTTGGTTTTTTGTTTTTTGGGGGGTTTGGGGGGGGCTTTTTGTTGGTGGGGTTTATTTCGTAGGTTTTTTTGTTTGTTTGTTTTTTAAGAAAAACTATAGAACACCCTACCTTTAATAATTCAAGACTCCTTAATATTTCTAAAGGCTCTTTGGATCTGCCATGTTCCAATGCCTGTCTGCTTTTCCCAATTTTGTAAAAGGCGTTATTATCTGTCTGCAAAAACAGTCTCATTTAGTACTAATTATAGAATCCATAAAAAGATATTTTTGACATACAAGGCTACCCGCTCTCTTTCTGGATTCCATTTCCCCATCTTTTTTGATGACCACCTAAATGCAAACTAATGCAATGTGAACCTAAAAGATGTTCTAACATAGTCCACTATATAAAGAGGTAATTACCTCTGAGTACATATTTAGTTGCACAAAACTAAAAGGCACAGAAGAAAAAAGCCTACCTCCTTTTTGGGAAACCTTGTTGGGAAACGAAGCCATTCATAAGCTGTTTTTCTGGTGATGCTGGGATCAAGAATCCTGATTTGACTAGATTTGTATATCATGTTCAGAGCCGGTTTCTTCCAAAAGCCTTTAGCACTCTGTAACAGGCAAGCAAATACACATTTTTAATGGCTATAAACAGTTCCATTTTGGTTTTACCAGAGTGAAATCCAAGAGCAGGAGACTGAGGAAGAAGAGGAGGAACGTTGAACCTCTCAAAGTTCAACAAAAACACATGCCAAATCGTGCTCCTGCAACAGGATAACCCGCTGCAGCAGCAGAGGCTGGGGCCGGCTGGCTGGAAAACAGCTTTGCAGAAAGGTCCCTGATGGACAACACGCACCAGCAGCGTGCCCTAGAGGCAGTACATGCTCATTGTGTGCTCGGCCACAGTAATAAAGAGCATAGAAAACAGGTAGACAGAAGTTCTCGTTCTCAAGTACTTTGCACTGTGCCTTTCTGCGGTCTCAGAAATGCTGTTTTGGGCTCCCCCCCATGCAAGAGAAAGTATCAAGCTGGGGCAAGCTCAGCAGAGGGCCGCTGAAACGGCCGAGGGGCCAGAGCGCACCGTAAACAAGAAGGGTCTGAGGAGGCTGGGTTTGTTCAGCCCATCTTCAACTATCTGGTAGAGGTTTACAAAAAGAGACAGGATCAGACTCTTCTCGGAGGCGCACAGTGAAGGGATGAGAAGTTCTTTCCTGTGAGGATGGTGCAGTACTGAAACAGAGATTGTAGAAATATCCCTGGAAATACTCAAAACTTACCTGGATGATGCCCTGAGAACCCGGTATGGCTTTGAACTTGGCCCTGCTCTCTTTCAACAGGGTTTTGGACTAAAGACCTCCAGAGAGAGGTCCCTTCCAACATTATTCTGCAACTCCACCAAGGGCGCAGGATAAAATAATCTAGGAAACGGCTAGAGTATGCATGTCAGAATATGAAACAGTGCTAAGAAGAGGATAAAAAAAAAGTATTTCCAAGAGGAAAACTGTTTTGTGGTGAGGAACTGATCAAATACGTGGGTGAGAAAGAGGACAGAAGCATTTATGGGAAAGGGATACTGAGCAGACTGACTGGGATATCCAGTGCTCCCCCCAGCCAGGAGGACTAAGGTTAAAACCAAACCAGGTATTTCACGAGATGTGTGTGGCAAGCTGAGCCAAAGTCCACGAGTAATTAAACTCACTATTTTCTGACCACCTAGTATCTCCCAAAGCCACTTCAAGTCACGTGGTTTGAAGACGATGAGAACAACAGTCGTATTAGGGTCATAGTGGATCGGATCTGAGAAGATGGATTCTGGGTAAGAAAGTCGGAAAGTCGTCCTCCTCCCAACATCCTCTTCGTACCCTATAACGGGGCCATTATTCATTCTGCAGAGGACAGAGACACAGAGATGGCAATGACTACCCCACCCACGTCCTTACTGTGCGGTGGCTGGCACACGCATTAGAGTGCAGGACAGACAGCGTGTCCAGGTACCGTGGCCCAGCATTTACTTACCACATTACACAGCAGATAAGCAATTAATCAGGTGCGCTAACCCTCCCACTCAGAGGGATCAAGCACATATGGGAAACTGGCCAAGGTGGTTTAGAATACAATCACACAATTGCTTATCATGCATCACTTGAGCAGAAGGCCTTCTGATTTGGCTCAAACACAGAAACTGGAGAAGACCAAAGAGAATATCTGGCTTGGAGAATTACCCATTGCTCCATTCATACTACTGGATGATACGAATCATACAGGAGGCAATTCAAGAATGTTTTAATACTCTTCAGTGTCTACAGCATACAGGAACAGGAATTATGACTGTGTACCTGATACCGATACATCTTTATGTTTGCTTTTTTTTGTTTGGGGTTTTTTGGGTGTGGGTGTTTTGGGTTTTTTTTTTTAAAGCAGTAGCACAGCTACCACTGCTTTGGGATATAACCATTTAATAAGCAGGGAGCAGGTAGGTCAGGTCTCTCTGCTTTGAGGTGCTAGAGGGGCTGTGTTTAAGTCTCCATCTTGCAGTTTTTTCTTGGTGGGTGTGTTGCATATTCTTTGGAGAATTCAGGCAGTCTCTGTAGGCTCCATTCCTCCCAATGTGACTGACTGCTCAGAATAGGAGGCACGCTGCTTAGGAGCAAATGTTTGCAAAACAAGGTATGCAGACAAGGGAACATTCCAAAGTTTTATCAGAAGTCATCATTAAGTACAGAATGCAAACATCACCTCTTTGTTCACTCACAGTATACAAATGCGTACTATATTTCTGAAACAGTTTTTAATTTAGAGTTGTTTTTAAATGTGTGACGCCAGTCTACACAAAGATTTCCATTTTAAGAAGAGTAGATAGATCTACAAGGAGCCCAAATACTTGAAATAGATTAAAAATAATCCATGGAGCTTCCTTGCATCATTATACTACAGTGAAAATAAATGCAAGGTGGGGTTTTTTTGTAAAGCACAGAGTTGTCAGGCAAGTAAAGTTTCCTAAGAACGGGGATATTATCTGGATCGCTTTCTATAGTTTTAAGTTTATAAGAGGAGCTACAACTTGAAGAATTGCATGTATTCATTTCCACCTTATCAGTACATTTTCAAATGCATGTCAAACTCCAGGCTTTGTATACAACTTTTTATGGTAGTTCTTGAAGACTGAAACACTATTACTAAAATGAGCATTAGGAATGATGGCAAAGTAACAAAAATGAGATTTTGTTCAATGTTCAACACAATGTTGAAGCAGACAAACTGAAATAGCAGCTCAGAGGTTTTACTGAAAGAGGGTTCAGGCACACTATCTGACAGGGTACCTACAGGCAGAAGGGCTGTTTAATCAGTTACCATCTCAGTTCCTGCAAAGGAGAAACTGATTTAACTTTTTCTTAATGGGCAGAAAATTCTGTTATAATTAACTAAATAGTCTGTTTTCAGTTTGCTTGGTGTTTCAGCTTTCCTCCCCCGCCCCCCTTTGCCTGTTCCTCTTTGAGCACTTCCCCAGTTTCCCTAGTCCAGAAGCCGCCTCTTCGGACCTCAGCATCCTCTGGTAGGTCGAGGCATCTCAAACTTCCAATATGAACTAACGTGCTTGAGAAAGAGAGGCAGACATCATCATCATCCTCCAGCTAACACGTGCCTTGAGATGGACTTCCCATCATAAACGTTATGTTTAATCCACTCCAAGCAATGCACGTGCCAGCACAGATGTAAGACAGACATCGTGTGGAAGGTAAGAGGCAGGGCTGCCCGGGATGCTGGCTCACAGCAAGGGGCACATGCAGGGCTTTGGGCTGTCACATGCTTGGACCCATCCCTGATGGCAGCATCTTGCACGTGTGTATCTTGTACACGAGGCAGACTGACCACTCAGTGATCCTTCCTCCCCTGTATCAATCAATCTGTGTAATAAAACACTGATCCATTTTTTCCTAAAATTTTTTAAATGAAGGCTGTGACAGAGTAAGTAAAACAGGAAGTTTTATACATTTTCATTTGTATAATATCCAAACTCCAAAGCTACTGGCTGACAGCAAAAGTTTGTTCATTCTTTGCATGTACACAAAATAAAAAGGAAATAATATTTACCTTATTATCACATCATATGAGTCAATTTTCTCCCCTAAAGTCTTATTTCGAAGTACTCCTCCATTACCGACCACAACACACCGTCGACAGGCAATGCTGTGGAACAAACAGAACTTTTAATATGCACGACTTCCCTTGCTTCGTATTGTTATTAATGATATATTTGCATTTAGCTGGCTTATTTACTGAGGTCCTGTATCTCTTACAGTCCTTGGCCCCTGCAGAGCAGTTTCAATCCTGTGTCACACAGTAAGGCTGCTTTCAAAAAATGCAGCTGCATTATTTCACGGACTGCCAAAGTCAGGAAATGGCTTCTCTCATGTAAAACTGTTTTTATACGTGTCCTTTTTCCAGTGGTTTGCTGTTTAATATCATCTAACCAGTTGGTGACATGGGTGCCATTAGATAAATTATCTTCCACAATGCTTCAAACTTGTCCCAGTCTGGGGATATACCAAGCAGTTTTTCCAGACATACTCTATCCTAACTCAAATTAAGGTGCTTCTGCAATATTGTACAACTCCACAACTCTAGAGATCTCCAACATAAGCTAAAGCAGCAAGATTTATGTTCACGATTTACCTTACAGGCCTCTGAATAGCACATCTGAAAAACCTTGGCCCAATGACACGTGATGGCTCTTCAAATGAATATAATCACGTTGACTTCTCTCCCTCTACTTAGAAAGTGCTGTCTAAACATGTTTAAACATGTGCTGAAGTGCATGCTGTCATGACATAACAAGAGGGATATGCTTGATTAAAAGTTGCATTCTCATATGACTAGATTCAAGTTAGACAGCATTACTAAGTATATAAAACACCGAGCTACAAATTAGATTGTATACTACATCCAATCAAAATAGTAATTCCTTTCAAATTTAGAAAATATTCAGAGTTAAAAAGCACCCAAAAAAAGGTATTATACAAATGCTAAAGTTACAAAAGTAAACTGTAATGGTAAGATTTTCAAAGTTATTCCAGGTTTTCAAAGTGTATCTTTTGCTCTCTACTGTCTTATTTCAAATGCTAGTAAAATGTGTGGTTTGCTAAAAAAAAAAAAAGGCACACAGACAGGCTTACTGCTTACTGTTTTTTTACTCAAGAAATTTTGCCGCTTTAGGGAAGGTTTACATCCAATGTATAAGATTGCAAACTCCTCCTTACAGAACAAGCACATAATTTTCTGTTGTAAAAATGCTTCTTTATTTAGAGCAAAAGCCATTCAACTTGGTTGCAACAGGAACAACGGCAAAATAAAAATGTTGGTATTTTCTTCAGACACGAACAGGCTCACAGCTTACTGAGGGTGAGCCACCTCCCAGCGTCCCACTCCCATAGTACTTCAAATAAGAAAAAGGCTCTATGCCATTTCTTACTGTAGGGGACCCCAGGACTGTGTCCCAAAGAATACCGTAATCTGTATTAAATGCCCAGCGTGGCACTTTATGCAGACTAATTAACATCTTTCTCCTCAGATCGTCCAACCTGTTTTTTCAGCTGAGGAGAGTATTATTCAACATCAGTGAAAACAGCCTGTTCCAGCCGAGACTGACCAACACCTCAATGCACAAAGCAATTCCCTGTATTTCCTACAGAATTGTTAACGCAGTTACGCTGTACTGCATGTGGGCTAGGGAAAAGAAACTGGGCCTCAAAGCAATGCTGAAAACCTGAAGCTTACAGAAAAGGTGAAATGAGAATAAATGCCAACTGTAAAAAGCACTGTCTTTCAAAAGAAATGCTGGGATGGCACCTTCTCACCTGCTGCTCTAGGGTCACATCTGCAGAGGGAGTTGTCTTTAAAATTTTGTGTGTGTGTATGTGTGTGTGTATATATATATATAAAAAAAAATAGTGCTGCTAAACGCAGCTCTCGGGGTGGGGTGTCATGGAAAAAGCTGGCACACCTTTCTCTAGTGTTTCCTGAGCAGCTTAGTAGAAGCCAAGCATTCATAAAAAGATTTCCAGCTAATGCCGTAAGTCCATGTGACTTGGTACCTCGGAAATCAGAGAGGTGAAAACCTGTTACACCATCCTGTCCTCAGTATACCCATTCCCTCTACACCCACAAAACCCTTCCCTCTCTGCTCCAGGACTGCTTCAGCCCATTCATTTTCAAATTAGTTTTTCAACCTAGTTTTAAGATATCCTGAGAAAGCAGGCTGATGAACATATGCCTCTTGCGAAGTTTATGGTGGGAGGGAGGGAGCAGAAGTTACCCTTTTCCTGAATTACGCTTTGTTACTTGCAGCTATAACATAGAACTCAAAGCTACAGAGAAGCAGCAGTGAGGAGAAACAGGAAGGAAAAGGGAAAACTGGACAAAAAACGTGATCAGTAAGTGATGAACCTGGAATGAGGGAGAGGGGAAAAAAACCCCCGCAGAATTAGCGTATGATTGTATCATGTTTTTCTGTCATTTACAACATGTCTCTGTAAATCACTGAAAGTTTTAATCATCTCAAACCTCTGAATTCAGTGTCGCCAAAAGTTACATGGCCGCAGGTGCGTAACTGAGGTCCAAACATCACCACAATGCAAATCCTAAACTGCTACTCATACTCCAACTCCCGGTGGTACCTCCTGGCTAGAGCATCCATCCCCAATGCTTGGTGGACACCCTGGTTTGGCAGTGACTGACACACCATGCACACTCATCTTCAGGTCTCAATAACCAAAAAATTGCTCCTAATCTTGCTGAATATTTTCTTTTATACTCTCTGATCACCTGGTGTGAATTCACAAAGACAATGTCAACTCCATTACAAGTGATTTGTATTATTCTGACCATGATAAGTAGCCAAAAAGTTACTTTGAGGAGGCACTGCTTGTTCTGTAGATGAACTTTAAGTGATTCCTTATTACATACCTTCCAATTTTTGGCAGAGGCTATGATTTAAGAAGCTTCTTTGCTATGTCAATCCCTAGCTATTGAAATAATGCCTTCCACTCTGGTATAAAACTGAAGAGCTCTTTGGTTTCTCCTCTCTGCACTGTGCAGTTGTGATGTAGCAGGACACACTCAGGACAGGGAGGGTAAAATAAAACGTGACTTTAGAGCTGGGCAACTGAGGTTCACGCAGCTACAGAAGCTGGGTAGCTGCTCTCAAGTCAAATCTCAACTCTCTTCCCTCTTACTGACGGATGCAGACCAGATCTTGTTCATGGCTAAGAGCTGACTAATACTACTTGGATGGAAAATGGAGTGAAATCTGAAGTTTGATTAAGCTTTCAAACTCCAGTGCCGTTAATAACATGCCTGCTAAAAAAAAATAAAGTTATCAGCTGCCCTCAAATAACCAATAAAGCATCTAATATTGGTATGTGAACTTTTGAAATGGATAAAGTCAACAAGCAGATCAAATACTCCTGATTAATTGTACATGAATACAATCGTAAATACAGTCAAACGAATTAGAAAGACCAGCTTTTAATCTCTGTCAAGCTCAGGAAATCGAAGTGGGCCAACTCAAACAGCAAGTCTGGCACAACTGTGCTATTTCTGAATTGTCTCCTCTCCCTAGACCCCCCACAGTATTCAAGTGTCTCCAGTTATGACCATAGGATTATGTCCACAGCAGCACAGATTCCACTGACAAAGGTAAGCAGAAAGGGAAACCGTTTATGCTAGAGTAAAAAAACAGAACATAGTATCATAGGGAACCAACACATGAAATGGAGGCAAAGAATATGTAGCAAGGCTGGACTGTATTCAAAGATATTTAAGTTAAATAAACTGACCTGTACTTACTGTAGATCACAGAAACCAACACATTGATTTTCAGCAGACTGTTACTCCCAGATATTTTACCAACCCCACTTCTTAAAGTCTCCTTTTTCATGTTTTCATATTAAAAAAAACCCAAACACTCACCCCAAAGGGTGAGTAACACTCACCCTTTCTCCAAGTCAATAAATTGGCAAGAAGAAAAATAAATTCAGATATCCTTAAACAACATCAGGTGTGCTACAAGTGAAATATAACAGACTGAAATGTCTGGAGGGCCAGCTTACAACCACCAGCACAATATTGATGAAAGTGAAAAATATTAAGACCTCAGCTATAACAACTGCTATAGCAATGGTTTGAGTGACTAAGGGATTGCATTTAGGTGTTAGAGATGTATAGTATAGAGTATAAATGGATCCTGATGCAAATCGCATGGTAACTGATCTCCAACATCTAAACGCAATCCCTTCAGTCACTCAAACCATTGCCCTATTCACGTGGTGTACAAAAGCCTCTTAATCTCAAGGCCAGGCGTTAGTTTACATATTTCATTTATATGGTGAAATGCTAGAAGAAACATTTTCCTGGTCTATAAAAGAAAAATATTGTTAAATGGAAATGTAGCCTTTAAAGGTCAGAAAGCTTGCATCCTCCACATTCCACTGAAATACTGTTTCTCTGGAAAAGGCAAAAGGAGATCTCAACCTCAACTCCTTTAACACACACCCCTGTAGTCAGTTGAGGAATGCAAATTATTTCCTTTGAGGTTATTTGGTAAAAGGAGGATGCAGAGGTCACATTTTATTGACTCAGGACTGTGTAAATGCATTTGTAAGAACTTACTGCTGCTGAGCTTAGAGTCCAGAGTGCCCAGCGAGTAACTATGAGGAAATGGGTAGAGTGGGTTTTCAGAGGTTACTCTGTGGATATACCCCTCGCCTGGAAAACCTGTCCCTACGGGCTACTCCACTGAAGTCAGTGACACTGTTCACTTCCAAACAGTTTTGGAGAACTAGACCTTTACACAGTGAGAATTCCACCGAAGTTTGGAAAATGACACTGTTCGGAAGAAAATCCTTTGTAGGTAAAACTGTACATAGTGAGCTAAGTCGCACACAAATACAGCTATATGAGCACCACAGATTTGGTGCTCATACAGCCTAATATTTGTTAAAATACTTTATAGCAGGTTCCCCCACTCTGCCCCAAGAAAAGTTTAAAGGGAAATTCGGTTTGCATTCTGCCAAGAAGGCTGAATTAGGCAGCAGCATTAGAGAGCTGCCTAGTAACTCTGTATTACCGGAGAATGTTGTTAGGATTAATTCCCAGAGTGTTTCACATTTAAAAGTCACTGTTATCTCTGTTAAATGTATATATAAAAGCTCTTCCTTACTACAGTGATTCATGCCCTAACAGTACTATACACAAAACCTGATGGATCTAGAAATAATATATTGTATGAAGTCATTGTACCTTCGATTTGTTTTATACTTAAATAGTAATAGTTCTCATTTTGCTTCGGTACTACTGAAGTATATTACTTTTACTAAAATGAAGCATACTTCCCAGAACCACTAGATATATCTATATCTCAGAGAACCTACATTCAAAGGATAAATACCAATTACCTTACTTTTGATCTACAGGACAGACACTTCCATTTAAATGGTACTATGCTGTACTGCAAGCGTCTCTACTTTACAGCCAATACAATTATAGTGCTGAACTTGTGATTTCTGGAAATTTCTAATACAACATTTGGCATTCTCCTTCAAACTCCAGACAAAAGACTAGCCTTTGTCAGCCAATTCTGTATAAATTTCGCCAATTATCACACACCTGATAGGAAAAAACCCTGTTTTCTTTTTTTTTTCCCCTCTCCTTAAGAGTAAACCTGAACATCCTAGAAATAGGTACTAAACACAGAGAAAGGAAGGAGTACAGTAGGTGAAGAAAAGGAAAACTGGGTATTAAAACCAAGATAATTCTAAGGCTTGAACACCAATTATTTTGTTCATATTCCACCCAAGTTTAATTAAAATGTGATCCCGGCATTTGGCTTGAAGCAACAATCTTCTGTTTCATCTCCTTGATTAAAAAACAAAACCAAGTACAGCCAACCTCAGCATTATTTGCATTCAACTCTATTAAGAAGTCTGCATATTAACATGATATATGGCAGGTTGTCAGCCCGTTTGCTAGACTGCAAATCTAAGAAGCCATTTGCATCACTTGGTAAAGACAGGATTTTAGTTTACTTGCCAACCCTACTACACTATCTCACCCCCCCGCCCCCAAAACCCCAAACAAACAAAAAAACCTCAAAACAAAACACACCCCAACAACAACAAGACACACACACACACACAGAAAGATCCTCCAAACAAGAAATCCCAGCAGAAGTGGCTTCTAACCAAGAGATTTAAACAGGGCTATCTAATGCATGGGAAGCGAGTTATCTAAGGCGTGCTCTGCTCCGTGCCACACCTTGGTTACTCCCGAAATGCCAGGAACAGCCTTTCCTGGCTGCCTACATTTCCTTCATTCACTGGAAAAGGAAGCTGAGTGTATATACAAACCAGGATGTGCAGCAAGCCAGCAGATGCAGTGGCAGGGGGTTATGCATAAGATTTCTTTTGCGTAGAAACAGGCATCGGTTTGCATCTGCTTATCTCAAACATTCTCTAGCTTACACTAATGACAACTTTGAAAAGGAGATGACATTCAATTTTTAAGGGGTGGTTTCACCTTCCTCAAGTATAAAAAGATACTACAGGAAGATAGGACTGCATTCAGCTAGCAAATTCCTAACGCACTTATAAAAAGAAATCTGTAAGTTTAAGCTCTCTCACGGAAAAGTTATTCTTGAATGCTGGTGCTACATGTGTTTAAAACCAAACTTATTTAAATCTTGGAATCAGTTACATATTGCTTGGACACTGTCGGTCAGATCCGCATCTTGGCTAACTTGAGCAATTTCAGGATAACGCCACTGACATTCCTTTTCAGATAAATACTAAATATTAAAAATGCAATGAACAGAAACAGTAGCAAATAAACCATCTCACCTGTCATCTTCATTATAAAGTCCACAGTTCTGCAGTCTTGAAAGGGCTAAATGAAAAAATTGCTCTAGAAAGCAAATATAAAGAAGATTAATGAAAATGTTGAATGGTTTCCAACAAAAATAAGCATGCCACCCTGACTACAGCATTTTCAGACACAGTAGTTTTTATGTACTGTGCATAAAAAACTCAAAATAAGAAAACTTGTAATTTAGGGCCACAGGTAAATCAATGATGCCAGAGACATTCAGGTTTATCAGAGCTCCTCTCTGGGAAGCTTTTCCTGCCCTAACATCCCGTTGGGAAATAGCATGGGATTTGTATCAAAAAAATCTTAAGTTACGGTAAATAAGCATCAGAAGAGTTTCCAAGACCTGCATCCTAATTGACTTTGTTTTTTCTTCTACCCACCTGCAGCTGAAACAGAAACAGCCTTGACCCAAGAGGAGGGGCTGCCCAGCCAGGGACAGTAACAGCATTACGTATCTTGGGAGAATACATCAAACCAGCTGTGCTCACTGGCAAAGCTGGGCAGAGGCACCTTCCCAGCCCTCCCTTGGTGGGCAGGCACCTGCTGGACACTCAACGAGCCTCTAACTGAGGGGGATCTCAACTCATTCCCAAAGGTACTTTTCCTCCCTGCAGCCCCAGAGGTGCAGGAAAATGCACCATCCTTGTTACACTGATGGAGGGCAAATCCAGAGTCTAAAGCCCAGATCCGCGGGGTACTAGGAAGGTACACTGTTCAGTGTTAAAAACTCAGAGTTGAGACTTTACAACCCTTTCCAAAAGGGCGGCTAAGACCCTTAGGGTCTCTGGCCCTGTTTACTCTGCCCTAATGCAGGCAGCAGGCATGAGCAGGCAAACACGTTGCATGGGGTACAGCAGCCATGCAACGGCAGGAATACCCCCTGCAGCTCCAGTGACACCTTCCCTTGTGGGAGAAGCTAGCCCAGTAAAAGGAAAATTTTGCTATTGTAACGGGGGGGGGGGGGGCAGGGCAGGGGACTTCTGTCCAGTCCAACCTGGGGACTTCGGCCTCAGTAGAATTCTGGATCCCAATCAGCTTCGGTGTGCTGATCAAACCCCCACCACGCTGACCCTAATATTTCACCTAGCAAAGCACTAAATATCTTTAGCACTCCACTCTTCCTCACTCCCACCTTTCTGGAGCTTCTCTGCTAAGAGGGGCAACCCCAACATGGTGTTTTATTTTTTAAAAACAGGAAGGTGTCAGGTCAGAGGGACTAAATGAAACCATTAAGTTACTGCTAGATACTCCCGAAAGGATTGGCATCCGTGAACAGAAGACACCAAGGCCAGAGATTCAGGTGGCTTTATACGCCATTTAGGTATTTCTGTTTAAAAAACAAGGTACACGGGGAACACAAACCTGCTTTCTTTATTCCATAAGGTAGTTCAAACTTATCGCTCCCGTGGAACTCTGCCACTCTGATAAAATCATTAGTGCACAGGAACGGGTATATTTTGTCAACACTAATGAAGGGAAAAAGTAAGAAGTTTCAAAAATCCATATGATGTATTTGAATAAGCCAATAATTCATGCAACTGCTTTTAAAAAAAGCTTGCTTTATCCTACTTCAAGTATTATCAATTTTTAAAAGAAGAAAACTCAAACACAGGGAAAGAAAGCAGGTGACAGAAAAGGGCAAGATTTTATAGTGGAAAATATAGGTAGAGAGTGAGATAAAATGATTTCTCTGCTAGTACAAGTGTATAGAGTCGTTAAAATTGCATGACTGAAATCTTGCACCATGAGACAGCATATTTAAGAGAATACATAATGCAGGAAGACAATGAATAACTTCAGGTTTGAAAAGCACATAACAGAGGCAGCAAGGAAAATTAAGCGTTATTATTATATACGGCAATTTAATAAATAAGAATGGGATTTGAAACAAGGTGTTTTAACTTGAAAATACCATCTCCTGAAGACACCAGCTGATTTGAGATGCACTCCCATTCCAAACAAGTGGCACTTTATGGCTTTGTTGACATAAGTAAGTAGTTTGGGGCAACAGGGGTATATCCACACAGCAAAAAAATATGGAGTTCTCACATCCACATTACACATATCTCGGGTTTTGTTGGTGGGTTTTTTTTGTTTTGTTTGTTTTTGTTTGTTTGGTTTTTTTACTATGGACTAACCCTAGTAGGATCCCACAGATTGAACACTCCTTAGCAGCTGCAGCACATCGGGTGTGCTCCTGCAGCGCATCTTCTGGCTTAGCCAAAAGTCAGATGTCTGAAAGGAGCCCAGTGCACATGTGCCAGGGCCACCACGTGATGAGAAGCATGGCACGTGGGGATCACAAGGAGGTTTGCCTCAAAAGCGCATTCCTCCTGCAAACTAGAACATGATGGCATCATACTTTATAAATGTCAAGATAGAAAGAATGGGTCACTACTTTCAGAAGACAGTAACCACAGAGAAGGGTTATCTCATAGCAGGGAAGGGACTCTTATCACCCTATCTGCCAAGTCAAGTCAAATGAACAAACAGTAGACTCAATCCTGTCACATGCTAGCATGCCCTTGGTTTCACCTTGGAGTTAAGCGGACAGGCACTCACTGAACTGGTTGACTTTGTAGCAATCCTGCATACTAGGTCTAATATTAAAACGTTAACACACAAGTATACAGACACAGTGAGAAAACCTAGTGTTGATCATAAATACCCACAGCCAGCACATGACTTATTTCTCCATTAAGAATATTAATAGCTGTTAAGAAAATCCTCCCTCTCAGTTTCACGAATCAAGTATCTCACGCTTTAAGCTCTATGTATTCAGAAGATACTAACAGTAAAAAGGAAAAAAACCAAACAAAACACCACAGCCCACGCACCAAGAACTGGGTAATAGGTTAACTAAGCAAGACCAGCTGACTTTGAGACATCATGCAGTAAACACCTATATTAAATTTAATAACTTGCCTTACTGTTCAGAAGCAGCTGGTAAGCTTAGACATAATAAATAATTTACCTACTGCAAAGAGATTCTTAATTCTAGCTCTTCTAGCTCTGGTTCCTTTCCAACAAATAATTCTGCCAGGTTAGAAATCCTTTCAATCTCCCCAGGCTATTACCAAAGTGCACAGACCAGATCTTCAGCTCACGCAAACTATCTCTGTAGAAGAGCTATGGAAATATGCAAGAGACTTTGTTCTAGCTCTGCACCTACCTTCTTCTCGCTGTGTATCTCTGAGTCCATTCCTGCCCCCTTGCTCAGCCCCAGAGCTATCCTGCTGTGCCTGACACAGAGACAGCCTGGGCACGCTCTGTGGGTGAGGGATCTAGGACCACCTCACTGGGCCAGGCAGCTAACCAAAACTCAAAGACTACAGGACTGCTTTGGGGAGGACAAACACAAGATCCTTCCGTGTTCTTTAAAATAATAGCAGCACTGAATTAAAGCCATGTTTTCTTGTACACAAAAAGGACCAAAAAAAAAAAGAAGCAGTGGTGTCCTTGCTCAGAGCTTAAAGAGTCCTTCAGCCAGGACTTTTGGTCTAAACATCTTCCAAGCTTTCTCAGGGCCATACTCAATGTTTGCTCAGGTAAAACACAAAGCCAACAATATAGCCTGTCTGCTTCTGGTCCTGTAGCACTTCCTTGATCTCTTGTTTAAGACTTGTGCTTCTAATAACAAAAACCCCCAGTACTTCCTCACAAACCTCTTGGATGCACTTTTGTGACCAGACACCTCTTTTGTTTTGGGTTGAAGCTCTTCCTTTTTTCATCTGACTGGTTCTTTAAAAAGGAAGCTTCCTGTGAGTACCTTAAAGTGGAGGGCACCTACACACAATTCAACAATACTATCAGAGGAACAAAACTATGAATAATCCCAAATTTCATTAAAATTAAAGTCTATTAAAATTAAAATCCCATTGAAGGGGAAGAATCTTATATCATTAAAGATTGGATGAACTTTTGCACATTTCATACTCCTCTTTCCAAATACAATGAAGAGATTTTCAAGACTTCTCTGGTCCCTGCCTGCTACAGAAATACTTAGCTACCAAGAGTCCAGGTTCTTAATAGCAGAATGACTGAGTTTCAGTCTTGGACATGAAGGCTTCTTTTACAGGAAAAGCATGGGGGGAAAAAAAAAATTAAGGCTTGTATTTCAATCATTAAAATAGTTTCACTGTTACTACTTACAATATCTGAACAGGAAGTATTTATTTATTTGGTGCATACACCAGCATGTTGAGCTAGTTGTGTGGCATGGCTCAGATGCTGATCAGTGGGCGAGCTAAACAATTTGTGTTGCCACAACCAGGAGGAAAAGCAGCAATGAACCCAAGCCCAAAAGCTGTACTTCCAGAGGTAAATCAAAATGTGAAATAGTCCAGAATATGTAAATAGCCCATTTCTACCTCAATCAGCACAGACTTTCCTTTCCCTGCCCATTTCTACCTCAATCAGCACAGACTTTCCTTTCCCTGCCAATTCCTACGTAAGACTCACCCCAGTAAAGATTCAAATGCTGGTTTCAGGAGACAAGCGTCCAGCACATTCCTTCTCTCCACAGCTGTAGGCGGCAGCCTGCAAAAGAAGAGTTTCAAAGAAATAGCAAGAACAGGAACAGGTAGCAGCAACAAGGTAGGGAAACCTGGACAAGTCAAGTTAGTAAGAGCTGATTACTGAGTTAACACCACACCAAGTTTTCATGATTGCATCTGTGTGTATTATAAAGACGGATCTTTCTCATTGCGGTACAATTACTTTTACTAGTAAAGGCTTTTATCTCACAGTGCTGCTCAAAGGGGTCTGTAATCTCCCTTGCTCAGCAACTATCAAAGCAGCCACAACCAGAGGTGAGATTTCAGGCCCACCTGCAGAGAAGCATGACACCTGGGCTGAATCACCCCTGCAGCCATACCAGATAGCATCACCAGCACTCCTCAGAGAGGAGAGGGGAGTCTTGTTTGGAGAGGAGAATAGACAGCACCACATAGGGTACTTCAAGGAAAATGAGATTCTTTGGGGATAAGTCATTCCTCTCATAATAAGGCTAAGACTTACACTTCTAAGCACACTCCCGCCTTGGCGATTTAGCCCTAATAATAACAAATATGAAGCCCAGAAGGGAGGGTAAAGTTCAGTGTGAGCAATGCATGCATCTGGGCTGCATTAAGAACAGAAGGATGGAACCACCACATTAGAACCACAAGCCAAACAGACCATTAAGGTTAATTGCTTTTGGTAACCTCAAGTTGTCATGTGAATCCTGACACTGAGAAAGCACCCTGTGAAATGTATCAGCTGGCCAGCTCGTTGCTTTCCAGCATCAGACTCACAGATGGTGTTTTGCAGGATGGCTTCAGAGAGACTAGAGGCCTGCTTTTAAGTTTTAGCATAGGCACTCATTAGTCCCACAAACCTAATTGCAGGAATTTACTAGCACAAGATCTGCTTATACACGCACTTGCACATTGCAAGTGAACCACACCTCTGATTTATTAAATTTTAAGCACAAAAGTTGCCCTCGTAGCTCTGCTAATTTTGTTCAGGTATAACTCAGAATTATAGAAATTTGGAAGTTGTAAACAAATGTCCTTCCAACAATTCATTGCTTGTTATAGACAGTCACTGTAAGTGGCCATAAATATTAACCAAACACTGGAAACATGACATGTACAAATTCCTTTCTGCCAGACATGTTACAATTGTGTTCATATCAGAAACAGCCAACGGACACAGCTGTACAATAACCAATTGAACAGGGAGCCTACAGACAAACACTATGGATTTTAGTCTCAATCCCTCCCACCTGCCCAAAAACCAACCAAACAAAAAAAAAGCCCCACCACAAAAATACTCAACTGCTGAACTTACTGGGTAACTCCACTAGTCTCATAGGAATGAGGAGCCCTCACAGAGGAAGTCTGTCCATAAAAGCTAATCCTGCAAAAAGTGAAATGTCACAACACTGGTTTGCTATAAACAGAAAGCAAAACAGAAAGCCATTTGTATCAATTGTATGCTATAAATAAGGCAAATAGAGGCACATCAAGCACTACTTTTAAAAGCTATCACTATTATCTTCATAACACAAACACACTGGCAGTCCTGGTCACAGCTGTGCAGAGGCCAATGGAAACTCACCTTCTTTGATAAGCACCCTGAATTTTAGGTCCCAAGCCACCTGTCCCGTGCAGCCTGGAGACAGCGAAGGCTCACTTCCCACAAGGTTGCCACTGGGACTTGACAAATTTCACCTTTCCAAAAGATGCCCACTACACCTGCAGTTATTCCCATGTGTGGAACAGGTCTCTCCCACATCATTTATCAGACATCTAAAGGAACAAGCTAACACTAAACATACATGAGGTGGGAGGAGATATGGACACATGACACACAAATAAGGTATCTCTCCTCACCTGAACACCTATTTTCATGAAACTCAGAGGGACTCCCTGTCTCTGAGGTCCTGACTTCTCCATACAACCAGGCTCAAATCGACTATTAGGTTTAAAAGTGACACAAGAGAAGGGGCGACAGGACAGAATGATCACATTCATTCCCTCACAGTACAAAAAAAAAAACCCACCATAAAACAGGCACACACACACAGAGTAATAATCACTTCTGTTGATTACTACTGAACAACTGTTCAGCAACACAGTAACTCACAGCCACATCTCTCATACAGCCATGAGGGTGTTTGTACTGTAAGTGAACAAAGCATCACCATACCAGTAGAGGTTATTTCTCCACAGATTTCCATGCAGTATACCATACATAACAGCAGCAGCCAGGATAAAAAACAGAAGAATTCGTTTCATGACTGGCAGACCTGAAATGTAAGAAAAACAAAACAAGAAACTTAAATCCAAGTTATGCTAGTAACACGAACTTTTATAAATCATCCTGAAACCTACAAAAGGAAATCATTATTATTGCAGCCATCCTCCACCACCACAAATTTGACGGGGATCACTCCAGTTTGATTTCTCACACAAAGTCCCAGTGACAGGAGCAGAACGCTGCTTTGCACCTACTACACTTGCAGACTCTGCACAGAAGCATGGAGAGAGGCTCACTCCAGGTTCTCTCTGAAGACACAGGAGGGAGATGGGCTCTTCCAGAAGCACGTCAGAGTAGAAGCTCCTTTCTGTCCATTGGCAGCCCAAAGAAATCAGCCTCTTGGGTCAGAAGCTGGCCTTCACAGGTATCTGCGCTTCTCCTCCTTCTTGCACCACCTACTATCAGTTTCCACAATGGCACAGTTAAACAAGCATCAGCACTTTGCAGGAGGCAGACAGGCTGATGCCAATGAAGCAGCATGGGGTATGAGCCGCCACAAATTGCTACTGGCTTTTTTAGGATCACTGAATATTCTTAAGTGTGGTTTTGGACATTTAAAGCTGCACTGAAGCTGTCTGCTTATGCCCTCGTGTCCTGCACAGTCTCCAGCTCCTGAAACAGGCCAGACTTCATTGCTCAAGTGACAGAAAAGTGCTATTTTCACACATCGCAAAGCAAGGAAGAGAAGTTAGGACCCAATCTGTGGAACTTACTAAGTTATGGAGAAATAGCAGAGAAAGCATTCATTTTTCAAATACAGTTTTCACCTCATTGCACAGTCTAGTAAAAGAAAACCAGAGAAATATCAGAAGCTCATGTATCTGGCAAGACATGCTGGGGGAAAAGCAAGTTCTGCAATGCTCACGTCTAACACACTGAGCTGCCCTTTCAGTAGTTATGAATGAACTGTTGTTGCTTAATCTTCTGAAAGTCCAAAATAGCCATTCTGGCCACAAGTTACCGTGGAAATTTACTTGAGACCTATATCCTTCTATTGTTTTTACTTCTCCCCCTATCATGGTAAGCAGGTTCAACACACACAATGCATAAACACCTACTTGCATATCTATATTTTAAAGTGAAGGTAATAAACAGCTGTTCAGCAAAAACAAGCCATATCCAAACATACTGCTGCATTTTCCAAGAGCATAGCCTTTGGCTTTATGGTTTGGTTTTTTTTTTTTTTTTTAGTTTTCTTTTTTTAAATTCCATGTTGTTTTTTGGAATATTTAGAGTTGCTGTTATTTTAAACCTGTGTTAAACAGCTCTAAGGCAATAAAACTCAAGGTAGATATAGTCCAAGTGATTTACAGCAATATGCTTTATGCTAGTAACATCTTACTTTAACATCATACCTTGTATTAAAGGCCAAGAAACTACTAGATAGAGCTGCATTTTGTTATTAGAAATTGAGAAGCAAAACTACTGCCACTCACGTAGCTTCACCCCTGAAGAAATATCAAACAGTGAACTATTTGTTACAATGACTCAGTTCCAACACCCACCACTTCCTTATTTCCTCCCCCCTCC